GACCATATCACGCCCTTTTGCGTCTAACGCCATCTCCCTCTCTCTCCCCCGCAGCGACAAGCCCAAAATTTCACTCCCTCATGCAAAGCAGCTCCTTCAACCCAATCTCGAATTCCCTTCAATTTCAACGCCCATGGATTTTCCCCGAGACCCACTTCACCCTTGGTATTAGGGTTCCAAATAAGCCTAGATTCCGCCTTACACCTCGAATTGTTATCAGAACTTCAAGAACTCGGTACAGAGCCGATGAAGGCCTTGATGATACACCCGGTCCCAGCACCCCGGTGCGCTTCCCCGTCGTCCTTCTCCGGTCCGGTAGGGTCTCTCAGTACGTGTGGGATGGGTTTTCTCTACAGTTGGTCGGCGTTGATGGTGGTGCTTCATCTGTGTCTTTTGATTTCGTTGATGGGTTTCGAACGATGTACAGGGCATGTGGTTTGGCTGTTAAGGGTTTTTTTATTCCCAAGAATGTTAGTGAGCATTATGTACTTTATGTCAAATGGAAGTTCTTGCATCGGGTTTTCAGTTCCGCTCTGCAGGTTATTGCTACTCAGGTCAGTGGATGAAACTTAATTGTTTAATTTATTCGAGTTTTCTAGTTGCGAGAAGAAATTAGTCTGATAGAGTTTAAGGATTAGACTCATAGTTTTATTTAACTATAGACCATTTGATGTTTGTTCATATTCTTCTTAGTTTATTTCTTATAGTTGGTTTCTGTTGGGACAACATTTTAGCTTGAGCACATCCATATAGCAGAACTTTGAAGTGTTTTTTGGTGTGTGGATTGAATTGTTTACCTGATGAAAGTATTTGGAGTGTTAATTTTTATGGCTCTGCACTATAGTTGTTAGCTCTGATTTTATTGATGTCCACCTAATGGTTTAATGATAAGTATTCTCTTCAAATTATAAGGAAAATTCTTATTGATAGGCAATGTTTCGGGCTATAGGAGTTGGGCGCACTCGTTCGCTAGCATCTGCAGCAGCTCTGAATTGGGTCCTGAAGGATGGACTTGGACGGTTAAGTCGGTGTATTTACACTGCTACGATAGCATCTTCATTCGATACAAATTTAAAGGTTTGCTTCTGTTTGTTAATTTCTTATGAACAAGGAGTTTTATTTGAAGGTCATCCTTGAAAGTGCAGTGTTTGTGTTTCCATTGTATCTTATTGTTTGATGAACAATTCTTTTTTTCTTTTTAATGTTTCTCGTTTCAAGAGAGTCAGGTTTTCGACAGCGATTCTATTCAGTTTAAGCATTGGAGTTGAGTTGCTGACTCCAGCATTTCCTCAGTACTTCTTGCTTCTTGCATCGATTGCAAACATCGTGAAACAAATAAGTCTTGGATGCTACTTATCAACGGCTGTAAGGGTTCACAATTTTATCTAGTCCAATTTTTGTGCATTATATGTTTGACATACTTTCTTCACGAAAAATCGATCACCTCTTTATGATAATAACCAATATTTCTTTCTGTTGGTAAGAGGTGTTTGTTGGATTACTCTGTGTTGTTCGTTTGTCGAGAAACGTTACTCCAAGTTGTTGATCACTTAAGGTTTGGAATGACTTTCAAAGTGCTTAGAAAAAGGTTTTTAAGACTCAATTTTCCAAATATCCATTTGGTTCATTTATGAAGTTTCTGGAAGACTCAGTTTCAAAAGCTCTAATTATGCTGGTTAAGCATTCCTAAAAGTTTCATTTCAATAGATATTATTCTTTTTGCTTCACGACTTCGGATTTTATTAGTGTCGTCTTATAGTTCTCACTCTTTGTAATCAGTCTGCTGTTCATAGAAGTTTTGCAGTGACAGATAACCTTGGTGAAGTTTCTGCCAAGGCACAGGTTGGCTATAATCCTTCCTGAAACAGATCACAATTTTTCGGTATCCTTTACGTTCATTCAACTATCCATTTTGTGCAGATTCAATCAGTGTGCTTTGATAATCTTGGTCTCATACTCGCCGTCCTTCTGAACTTCTTGTCCAAGAATGATCAAAGGTTTTTTTTCCCCTGATTGTTCTTTAGACTAACGTTTGTTCTTAAATAAGTTACAAATACTCAGAGATTATCAATTCATGTCTGTTTTATCATGATGTACATGTTTTCTCGTTTTTGGAATTTATCATTTCAAAGGTTTTCTAACTCATGATTTTTTTTTTTATGTTAGATTGCAAGCAGCTTTACCTTTTGTAGTTTACCCCATTTTTGCTGCAATGGATCTTTTCGGAACATATCAAGGGCTTAAACATGTCCATTTGCAAACACTAACGAAGGTAGGTTTTGTGTTATTCAACTTTCCACAATATTTGGAGGCTAGGTATGTAACGGCCCAAGCCCTCTTTAGCAAATATTGTCATCTTTGGGTTTTTCTTTTCGGGCTTTCTCTCAAGGTTTTTAAAACGCGTATGCTAGGGAGAGGTTTCCACACTCTCATAAAGAATATTTGTTCTCCTCTCCAACTGATGTGGGATCTCACAATCCATCCCCCTTCGAGGTCCAGCGTCCTCGCTGGCACTCGTTCCCTTTGGTCCAATCGATGTGGGACCCCCAATTCACCCCCTTCAGGGCCCAACATCCTTGCTGGCACACCACCTCATGTCCACCCTCCTTCGAGGCTCAGCCTCATCGCTGACACATCGTCCGGTGTCTGGCTTTGATACTATTTGTAACGACCCAAGCCCACTGCTAGTAGATATTGTCCTCTTTGAACTTTCCTTTTCGGACTTCCCCTCAAGATTTTTAAAAAGTGCCTACTAGGGAGAGGTTTTCACACCCTTATAAAGAATGTTTCGTTCTCCTCCCCAACCGATGTGGGATCTCACAAGTTGAGTGTTCGAATTTGCTGTTTTGTGCTTACTTGATGGAGCAAAATTGTCTTTTATAAGATGTTTGCTTAATGGAACTAATGATTTATTTATTCTCTCTTCACTACTTGAGTTCGGAATGACTTGAGTTTTGATAGAGTGCTTTTTAGGTGAAACACTTTCTTCCTATGTTGTGATGCTATGAAAAAAAAAAAAAAAAAACAAACACTTTTTACTATTCCAAAAGTCATAGTAAACTCAATTGAAGTGAATTTTTCATCTCAACCGTTAATTTCTTCATGTTCAGGATCGACTTGAGATCATATTATGCACTTGGATCGAGCAAGGATACGTGCCTACACCAGCCGAAGTAAGTGAGATGGAAGGAATTGATTTACTATGCAGAAAGGGTGAGAGTCTTGTCTATGTATTGATTCCTCTATACATAGAAGGTTAACCAATCGTAGACTTATGTTGAACTACAGTTAATGAATATAACTTCAATATTCAGGTAAGGTTTCATGGCCAATCAGAATAGGTTGCTTGAATCTGGAGTCTCAAATACCAAAGTTGTCAATGCTTGCAATGCGATCTGTATGTAACAAGGACTATTATTTTATATGCATGGATGTCTTCTGCCGGGGCTTAACAACAAATACAGTGAGTAGATATACTTCGATTAACCTTTACGAGCTGTCCATATTTCTTTTGCTCACACTTTTCTTTTTCGAAATCGTAGCACGGTATTCTTCTTTGTCTCCGTGAAGGGGCTCGTGCAGCAGATATCAGCATGGGGTTATTGCAGGTAGTAGAAAATTGCTTAAATTCATTTTCATCTGTTTGGTTTGCGCTTGATTTGAATATGATATCTATTGTTCGAAAAGTTTCAGTTGGGTCGGGTGATTTAGTGTAACAACCTAAACCCACAGCGAGCAAATATTGTTTTCTTTGGACTTCCCTTCAAGGTTTTTAAAATGCGTCTTCTAGAGAGAGTTTCTATCGTTTGTAACAGTCCAAGTCCATCGCTAGCAGATATTGTCCTCTTTGAGTTTTCCCTTTCAAGTTTCCACCAAGATTTTTAAAATGCGACTATTAGGGAGAGGTTTCCACACCTTTGTAAAGAATGTTTTGTTTCCCTCTCCAACCGATACTCAGTGTCCTCGCTGGCATTCGTTCCCCTTTTCAATCGAGGTAAGATCTTACATTTAGTTAAATCTGTCAAACGACCCTTGATTTACCAAGTGTTTCATAATTTTTTTATTTTGTTTTTCTTTCAATAACATATTTTTTTTTCAAATGCATTAAGGAAACATGGTAAAAGTCATGTAAAAGACAACGGTCAACTTTTGGTGAGGTTAATGATGTTTAGAGATATAACAAAACCAGAAAGACCAAAGCGAAACATTTAAAATCAGAAGGATGAAAGCATTAAGGAAATCTCTTCGAAACGGGATGTCACAACATTCTTTTAGTCCTATGCTTTATATTCAGCCGTTCTTTGATGATTTTGAAAGTCTGATGTAACGAGTCTTGACTTGAATAGGCATGCTTCATCCGCAAAGTGATTGTATCGAACACGAGCGTTTGGGACAAAGAAATCATGAAAGGTATTAACTTTTCAGATGCAATGGCGAAGGAGTGGGTTGGTTTGGTTGGGGATAGCAAGAAATATGCAGAAGAAAATGGTTGTAATTTGCTTAAACAAATGTCAAGCTTAGGATGGGCTGTCAAGAACGTTCTGCTGAGTACAAATGAGCAAATACGATACAGCTTTGTTGATGACTGAGGGAGCTTGTTTCGAAGGACCAAGATGCTGATTAACCCAAACTTATTACTCATCATTTTTTTCTTTTACCCTTATAAGGATACTGAACTCTGGGGATAAATTTAGAAATTGTTAATTATGTATTTTTTATATATAAAAAAAACTATAATTGTTTACACCCAATAAAATTATGGAAAAATATTAATTTCTATAAAGGTCTATTGAGTATAGTTTTATTGGCCGACTACCATATGTTTAAGGTTTCGCTCATTAATTATTTAGATTTTTATTTTAAGATGTTGTATTTCTTTTTGTATCATTTAAGGTCTCATTTGGGTACTTACAGACGTTGTACAAGACTCAATGATTGCTCGCCAAAATTGCATATACTTGAGAAATATTGAAATATCTCAAAATGTATTATAGTGGGAGTCATGATGTAACATCCTTAGTCTCAAGTGAGTTACCTGCATTTACGTGTGTTACAGTGTCGATGAGCGTTGTGTTTTTCTTTGAAAAAAAATATATTTATATATAGCGATAGTTAAATAAATTTACTAGTTAATGGCATGTAAATTATGAAATTAAAAAGTTTAAGAAAACAAACAAACAAAAAAAAAAAAAAAAAAAAAAAAANTTGTTATAGAAATTCTTAAACTTGTAATGTCCCTAAATTAAATTTTTATTTAATAGATTTTTAAAATTTTGAATATTTTTATTTAATAGATACAACTTTTAATATTAAAAAATACGTTTTTATATCTAATAGTATTTTTAAACTTTTGTATATAATGGAGATGTAAATTTTAAAAAATATTTAAAATTGAATTTAATTAGACATAAAATAGAAGAATCAGAGGACATTTCTTCAAATTTCAAATAATGGACCTATTACACCATTTTTAAATCTTATTTCAAAAACTAAAAAAATACAAAAAAAAAAAAAAAAAAAAAAAAAAAAAAAAAAAAAAAAAAAAAAAAAAAAAAAAAAAAAAAAAAAAAAAAAAAAAAAAAAAAAAAAAAAAAAAAAAAAAAAAAAAAAANAAACTGGGAGCATTTACCAAGAGCCCCGCCGTAGGGGAGGTTACCGGTGAGTACTGCGGCGAACTTTGCACGATCGCCGACGGCGACTGTTCCGACACCCTCCACATCTTCACCGACTTATCCAAACTGCCACTATACACAATCCACCTCCGTTGTTCTCCTTCCCCAGCCTCATTATCCCTTTCAACCGCCAAACACTTCACCGGTCCGGTGTGCCCCGTCAGCACCGACAAGCACGAATGCTCTGCCACTGTCCTCTGCCACACACATATCCCCATATCGGCGGAGCCACTCAACAACAACCGCCCCGCCGTCGCCAAACACAGAATTGCAAGCTTATGCCCCTTCAAATTGCCGCCATGCGACAACGATTTCTCCCTCTCCCAAAAATTCACCACTCCATCCGACGACCCACAGTACACAAACTTAGCTCCTTCGTTCACTGCCAGAGCCGTCACCGCACATTCCTGCTTCACCAATGTCTGTGAAAAAAAATGCTTCGTCCCTTTCCCCTGCAGCTCTCTTCTCCACACTTTCACGCTGCCATCCGCCGACCCAGTGAACACTAATCCATTCATACTCGAAATCAACGTATTAACAGCATCATCATGAGCTTCAATCGACTCCAAGCATTTCGAATCCGACACCCTCCACACCTTGAACGTTTTGTCCCACGAAGCAGAGTACAAAAACAAATTGTCATCACTCAAACTCAGAGACGAAATTGCATCGAAATGCTTAATCCAGAGGTTCCTCCGCCGTCTCCCATCCAAGTAATTGCTGGGTTTCATCGTACATTTGATGTAATCGCTCAATGTGGGTAAAGTCCCAACTCGTTTGTGGACGCTTGGATCTCGACTGGAGACCTTCCAGACACGGACCTTGCCGTCCTGGTGGCCGGTGAAGATTTTTCCACCGCCAATTACGATGGATTTGACCAAGCCGCTGTTGGATTTGAAACCGGAGAATTCCTTATGGCTTTTCCAGACGCGGATGTTCTTGCTGTCGGAGCCAGTGTAGAGAAGGTCCCCTGAGGCGGCGAGGGAGTAAATGTGGCCTTCTTCGCGGACGAGAGAGCCCATGAGGACATTGGGGAGGAAGGAAGTGTCGTCGGCGGAGGGGGCAGGGGAGGGCGTTAAGTGGGAGGACCATGGGGATTTGGTGTAAGGGGAGGAAGAGGCGGGTTCGAAAAAGGAGGGGTCGGCGTCGGCATCCATTAAAGAGAAGTTTGTGTCGTCGACGTTGGGAACAGAGTATTTGAGGGTGGGGACTTGGAGGGAGATGTCGGTGTCGTCAAGGCTGGGTTTTTTAAGCTTATTGAAACGGCGGGTGTGGACGCTGCCGCTGTTCTCTTCGGAGAAAACTCGGCCACCTCTGGAAGAACCTCCGCCACCTAACATGGTGGGATTTTCATAGAGAATTGGAGGAGAATTGTTCTTAAGGGACAAAATGTGGCAACCAAGAATGTGTGAAGGAAGGGGAGGTTATGGAAGGGTGCGGTTGTATATAGCTTCTTCTGTTTTTCTCTCCTCAATTTGCGGCTGCTTATGTCTCCTCCATCACTTTACTCGATGTCTTTTCCTTCCCACATTCAACTCAGCTTCAAATATGAACCCATTTCTCCGATTTAGCATCCTATAATTGTGCATGTTAACCCATTTTTTGTTACCTAAATATGTCCCTTACTAAAATCATGGGACATATGTCACATGCAAATTTAATATCTACCTCCCTAGCAAAGGGAAATGAAGATACCGGCCTTCAAAAGGGTGGAATGTGATGTCCCACATCGGTTGGAGAGGGGAACGAAGCATTCCTTGTGAGGGTTTAGAAACCTCTTCTTAGCAAGAGTGTTTTAAAACTGTGAGGCTGGCGGCAATACGTAATAGGTTAGAGCGAACAATATCTTCTAGGGGAAGATAGATAGTTTATATATACTTGTAATTATTGAGAAAATTAGTATTTCACAAAATGATCATATGCTACTCGATTTTAATCTTGAGTGAATTATGAACTTCTATTTGCGATGACTTATCCTTTTATTTGCACGGGTCAGAATGACTTTTGTAGTCGATTCAATATGTCTACCATTTTACAGACTTGACTAAACAGAGAATTTGGAATATAATTTCACGAGATGAAACTCACTTTAGAATATAATTTCCTAACGAAGCCTGCGGTGGATCATTTTAGAATCTTCGGGTGCATCACATATGCACATGTTCCTGACACGAGAAGGAAGAAATTTGAAGACAAGAGTTTAAAATGTGTGTTCCTTGGAGTAAGTGAAACTTCTAAGACGTACAAACTCTATGATCCATTGACAAAGAAAGTGGTGGTGAGTCGCAATGTGATCTTTGATGAAAAGAAAACATGGTAATGAGAAAAAAAGGTCACTGCGAATCAACAGATTCTGGTGGATCATGAAGAAGAACGAGTTGAAACCCCAATTCAACTTCACTATGAGCATGGAGAGGTAGTTAAGTACAAGACACGTCTAGTTACAAAGTGATACATACCGATATGGAGTTGTTTATAAGGATGTATTTATACCAGTAGCACATCAATTTACTATAAGGCTTATAATTTCAATTGCAACATAGAAACCGTGGCATATTCATCAACTTGATGTGAAGTCGGCCTTCTTACGTGGAAAGCCTCAAAAAGAGGTAGATGTGGAGCAACCAGATGGTTTTGTACAAAAAGGTAAAAAGGATAAAGTATATAGGTTAAAGAAAGTTTTATAAGTTTGAAGCGATTCCGAGAGCATGATACAATTGCATTGATTCTTATTTTGAAAAGATGGAGAATTCATTAAATATCCATATGAACACATTGAGGTAACATTCTCGTTGTTTGCTTGTATGTTGATGATTTAATATTTACTGGCAATAATGAAAAAATGTTTGAACTTGTTAGGAAGAGCACGATGAAGGAATTTGAAATGATAGATATTGGTTTGATGAAATATTTTTTTGGACTAGAAGTTATTCAGTTTGTCTATGGAAACTTTATCTGTCAAAAGAAATAGGTTCAAGAACTACTCAAAAGATTTAAAATTGATGAGCGCACATTTGAAACTCAATAAGAATTGTGTTTGAAGCTGCACAAGGATATTGAAGGGCCCGAGGCTGATAATAAGTACTTCAAGAAAATTGTGAGAAGCTTGATGTATTTAACCTCAATAAGACCAGACATCATATATGTTGTTAGCATATGATAAGTCGCTACATGGAGTATCCAACAAAAAAGCATCTCAATGCAGCAAGAAGAATACTTCGATATGTCAGAGAAACTTTTGATTTTGGAGGTATTTTACGAAAAAGGAGGTGATTTGAAGATGGTTGTCTATACAGATAGCGATTAAGTAAGTGATACAAATGATCGTAAAAATAATTTAGGAAGTGTTCTCAAGATGAGTTTAGAAGCTATTTGTTGGTTTTTAAAAGAAGTAACCTAGACAATCTTAACTAGATACAGAAGCAACTTTGTGGCAGCATCAACGTTCTTATGTCAAGCAATTTGATTAAGAAATATGTTTGAAATTCATAATTATAGTTCAGTTTCGATTTTATTTCTTGCATAATTTGTGTAAAAGAAGATACCTATTCACAAAACTCTTAAACAACCATTATTCGAGAAGATTAAAAGGTTCGAGAAGATCAAAAGAAAAAAAATGGGGAATGACAAAATCCAAGATGCTTTAAAAAGATGAAGTGAAGTGCTAAACTGTTTTTGATAAGCGTAAACTGATTTATAAACTGATTTCTACATAATCAATCATTTTCTACAAACAAAATCAATCATGTCATGGCAGGATGACATAAAATTACAAAGAAACTGAACTTTTTTTTAAAGTTTATAAAGACAACATGTATTACAGCATAATAAAATCATTCATTCACTAACATTTACTGCTCTCATCATTTTCAATCATGTTGGCTATGAGACTATGCCCACTATAAGAAATCAATAAACTTTTTCTCTCCATGTTGCATCAGTCTTGAACTTAAAATCTCAAATACATTGTACATCATCCTGTTGAAGCTGACAGAAACCCAATAAATCGCTTTAGAAACAAACAAACAAAAAAAAAAAAAAAGCTATTTCTTAGTTAAAAGGCCCGATGAAGAAAGAAGGCGTAACGCTTGGTTAGAATTGTCGAGAACCGATGATGACCTTGGAATATTCATCTTCCTTTTCTTCAAAAATTCCAATGAGTTCTGTGAGCATTGAGATGGTGCTCTCGCGTTTAAAAGAACCGTTTCAATCCTGCATTTATAAAAATGAGTCGTTCTATTTCAGAAGGTGTAATAAAATCGAGAAGAACATCTTCAGTAACTACAGAGTCAGGTCCCTCACCCAGAGCTTTTGCTTTTCCTCCTCCTTGTTTTTGATTTAGCTGCAGGCTTTTCGTCGCCTGGGTCTGATGAGAAAACTTGTCTATAGATGGAGAGTATACCAAATTAGATGTTTAAGGAAACTATAATCTGTGCAGAAATGAATGGAGAGTGGGAAAGAGACATACTTCTCACGCTCGGCAAGCAGTTGGACAAGATTACTGGGAAGCATTCCCAACTTGCTAACTTGATCGTTGTGTCTAGGGGTTTCTGCTACATCTTCGACAGTTTCGCCTTTTTTAGATGGGCGTGGTGTTTTCTTTTCGGCCCACTGTCTACGACGTTCTTTACCTTCACGGACAACCCTACATAAATAATGCCATTTATCATGTTCTGTCCAAAAAAACAAGAAATAAACAGACTTGCATCAAAGAACACTATCCTTTCAGATATCATCTATTTGCATCGCGGGCAGGAATTCCCAACACTACATTGAATTCTGAGAATGAACGACTATCCTCGATTCAGTAGTGCTCGTATCGGAAAATACCCTATAGCAATGGGCTGACAAAGCTAGCCATCCTAGCCAACTATCATTTGTTTCATTGATTAAAAAACATGGTTCAGAGCATCTGGTGGGACTAAAAATCTTATTCTTGTTAATGCAGAAGATGGAAAACAGATCAGATGGCAACCCATTAAGTAAAAGACAGAATTGCCCAGGCCCAAATCAAGGGCTCAATAATAACACAAAAACCTGATCTAATTACAACAGCAATGAACATAATTAGCAATCCAAGCCAATTTACATGCACCTTAATTAACAGCATGAAAGAACCATAGAATCCTACTGCATTTGAGGTAAGAAACTCATGAAATAATTGCCAACAAGAAATTAACCGTGAAAAGAAATCATAGTTACCATTGTTGTGAACATTGAGCCTCAGCAATTTATGCACAAAATTAAACCACCTTTGTTCTTTTTGAACTAGATTATTGAACAATGAAAAAAAGACAGACAATAACATATAACGGCATATGAAAAGAAATTTAGAATTGTATTTGTAAATAAAAAACCCTGCAGAATCAAGGAAAATCGTTGGATTGTCTTTCCATTACTTTCCACTTCACTTCGGTTTTATGAACATATTGCTGGCAAGCCAAAAAAATTGGTGCATTCCTTCTATTATGGATTTCTGGGAAAAGTTTCACTGCATAGGCTTCTCTGACAAAAAGACCTTTGGAGACTTTTAGTGGGTATGATTGTTTGGTCTCTTCTGTTGGACTGAAAAATTATTGATTGGGTTTCAAGATGTTATATCCTACAGTAGATGTAATACATTTTTACGGTTAAGGCATAATCCCCTTATGAATCAAAGAAGGCTAAGTATAGAGGCTTAAAAATTTGAGCCTCAAGGTTTAAGGTTCAAAAGCCCTTCAAAACATGGTTTAAGCTTTGACATGAGTGTTCTATTAATATTTGCACTACAAAACCTTAGATGGTCCTTCTCTTTACCATTTCCATTGCCCTTCAAGGAAGATGGACAAACCCTGAATCACGTACTCGTTAAGAATATCCTGATTAATGTGGAAAAAAATAAAGAGGAAGCGTTATCCTGCATGTTTGATTATGAGAAACCCTAACCTGATGGATTGGCCCTTTTTGTTAGATTGGGATTTGGACTTCTGGTAGATGCTCGTATAGCAGCACGTTAGCTTGTGGTTTCTAATCTCCAAAAGTACAATGTCACATAATTCATAAGAGAATTCAGTTATCAAGGTGGGCAAAGGTAGATACGTCTGTTCACGTCAAGAAGGATCAACGGTCCCAAAACTCTTTCAACTATCTCGGATCTTAAATCTATGCCCTCACAAATAA